TTGGGTGTTGCATTTCCATTTTTGGAGAATTTGAAAATCTACACAACCAATAAAAAGTTGTGGGACTAAGTGATTTGAATCATATGATCATATGTATGATTTGCATTTTCATACATGCAGAAAAAAATCTTACATACTAATACATACATATTTATTATATTATTAAGCATGGTGGACATTCGAATGTTGCACCAATTTTTTATGCCATATAATGTAATTTTTAAAGTAAAAAAACTGTGCGCTCAATTAAAATGGGTATACATTGATATGTAACACATACTATAACTTTACAGAGATATTCTTTAATGTTTTTTTAACTTAATTCCAGCTTCATCTGTCGACATCCACAATTTTGACATACTTTACTTAGTACCAACATTTACAATATGTTATTATGCGGCGGATGTGTAATTTGCAACAAAATTAGAGTAGGCTCTGAGGTATAGGAAAACAAGTAAAAATAAAGCAGAACTGGGAGTTTGGTGGACAAACTTGTTATCTTTTAAAACATTTTCAAGGTATAATAGTGAAAAAAGCCAAATGTGCACTTTGTAAAGAAACTAAAACTTTTAAACAATAAATGAAGCTACTAAAGGAAAAACTGAAGGGGATACAACAAGGTATTCATTCTATAATTATTATTAAATTAATAGTTTGGTATAATATATTTACTTTGTATATCTATTTCTTATTATTGGATGAATAAATGATGAATAGTAGAAGGTGGTTGTTCTATAATTATTCTTAAATTAATAATTTTGTATAATATATTTTTTTATTTATTTATTTGTTATAGACATGGACATAGAAACAAGATAGTCATTTTATAATTATTATTAAATTAATGGTTTTGTATAATATATTTATTTTTTCTTGTTATTAGGTGTGGATAATAGAAACAGGGTGTTTGTTCCATAAATTAATGGTTTTGTTTCCTTAGAACACAAGTAAAAGAAACAAGGTAAGTTGTTTTATAATTCTTGTTAAATTAATAAATTTGTTAAATTTGTATAATATATATTTATTTCATAAATAATAGGAACAAGGTAGTTTGTTCTTGATTATTGTTAAATTAATGGTTTTGCATTATTTGCTTCCAATATCTTGCTTGATAAACTTATACGTCACGAAGCCTCTTCTCTAAATTTTTGTGTAATCTATTCGGCCAATCAAATTTTCTTTTTTGTGTAATCTGATCGACGAAAATCATTACCAATTATAAGAATGTCCACCATGCTGTTATATATAAGGAAATTGATGTACAAAATAAAAAGTAAATTTTGCTATTTCTCCGAATATTAAATTTATTAATTTTTGGCAAAATAGAAATAAAAAACAAATCTATACCAAATATGCGATTAAAATTTTTACACACAGTAAAGCAATATTTGTTTGATTAAATGCACCATCATATAGAAAAATCAATATGGATTTATTTTACCACCATTTTTGTTACTTGAAACACAAAATTTCTTAGCCAATTAAATCACCTATTAAATATTGGTTCACAACAATTTCATTTAAAAGTATAGAATGTGTTATTTTACTACTTAAAAATCTTTCTCTGTGTGATAAACTTTCTTCATTAGAAATTTTAAATTGTTACCTAACAACATCACCAGTCATAACCAATGCTGTGATTCCAAATTCTTTTGAATTCCTTAAACAAGTTTCAAGAGAGAACCTACATTAAATCCAAGCCTTAGTCCTATCCTAAATTTTGGTCACAACATCAATCCAGTCCTAATAAAGATGATTAAAATATATTACAAGGTTATAAACAACCCAACAGAATTATTGACAAACATATTTTTAGAATATCTAGAAATATTTTAATTAAAAAACCCAAAATAGAGGTTGCGATACTAACTTTGTTTAGCAAATTTAAGAAGAAAATCCCATTAATCCTATTATAAAAGATAATGTATGTGTCAATGTAACAATCATAATTGTTGGGAGCAGTGGTACTTATTTTGACAATTTGATAATTATATATTGACGATATATATTACAACCAAAAAAACAGTAACAAGGATTATTTATAATTGTTTAGTTAGCTATCACTGTATTTTTCTGCAATAACTGATTCTACTCAACACAAATAAACGGTTACTTTTTTAACTTTGGGAAAATGGTTCTGATCCAGTTTTTACCTTTGTCAACCAATTTATATATGTTACAAGCTTCATTGATGATGTTGATAAATATGCTCTTTCAAATATGTCAATTTGTTTAAAGTATACTTTTAAGGAAAACTTTTTCTTTTTTTTGACCTATAGTGGATAAACATCAAGATCACCTTCTTGTTTGTTCCACTTTCCAAGAAAAACCATTTGCCAAGTATTTTATGGACTTCTTTTATTAACTAACTATTTATATGATTATTCCCATTTGTGCGAGTCACTATTACAACCAAATTGTCAATTACCTAAGAAATTTAATAATTTATTTTCTTAATTTATTTAGTTCCAATAATTCAGGAAAGGAATAGACTGTGGAGTTTGATTTATATATTAATATTGAATTTAAAGACACTTGTTGTAAGTGTTTGGTCCAGTAGCTACCATTACCATAAATAGTTATAAATAGATATGGCTACTGCAAATAACTATGACTGCTGGAAATAGCTTTCAATTATTGTCATAGTCATATTAATATTAGTCATGCGAAAATTTTCTTGAAATATTCGTGATCTGCAAGTAACTGAATTTTTTTTTATAAAATCCAGTTTAAGCTATATTAACCAATTGGCAAGGAAAATTTATTGCCTGCATGGATATTACACTATATGGGCGGAGTCACTAAAGTGTGGTTATTTAGTACCACAGAAGTTTCATGGCACACAAAACTGATGACTTTACAAACTGTATGTACTGATAATATACGTATTTTTTAATGATACTTTTTTGATATAGCCGAAAACTAATACATTATATTTTATTTTTAGTTCGAAGTTGCTTTTGAGAGAGTTTTCAGTCTTCATGATCTTGGTGTTGTTAAAATGAATAGAGAGAGGCCTCTTAACTTAAATCAAATTAATGATGATATAGAAAAGCTGAAATGTAAACTTAATAGAGATACAACTCACTTCTATCAACATTTGTATTCTAGCATTGATAAGATATCTGTTAAAGAATTATCTTGGAAAGATCCCTTAGCTGTCCAGTTATTAGTGATAATTCAGATATTGCGAAGAAATTACCCAAAGGCTTAAAAAAGGGCTCATAGTAAATTAATTTCTTATTAATTTCAGGATCATATTTCATATTACTTCAGGGAGCCACAGTACACATAATCTTATGAGATTCTGATTTTTTTTTTTTTGCATCCACTATTAATGCTATATGATACTATGTATGTATACTTTTGTTAGAAACTGGTTTGTAATATGACACCCAAATCCATGCCAATGGTTCAAAAAATGTGCAAAGAATTCGTATCAAATTTCATTACCCAGAGAACAATACAAATTGGGATAATAAACTGAAGCATGATGGTACATGTAAAGAGCAAAAAGAAGATATCACACATAGTAAATGAGATTTTTAGTGTGCTGAAATATGTTTGAAGTAACCCAGAATTCGATTCCGAATTTGCAAAGTCATTAAATGAGGGGGGACATACCAATCTACCATCATGGTATTAGCAATATTAAAAAATCTTCCCACCGGAAACTCTTTTTTCATTAGTAATTTAGAGAAGAAAATTATCACTGGTGTTAATAGAAAGGAGGAGGATGTATTGTGAGACGACCAGACAATTATGTTTGTATATAGTAAAATATCCTGATACAATTTTTGAACTTATGTATGTTGAATGCTCTCGCTTATTTTGTAGTTCTCAAAAAAAAAAAGGATAACAAGATAAAGCTATGGTGAGAAACTAACAATGGAATGTATTGGGTATATGAAAGCATCAATGTTGACATCTGAACATTCTTGTCAGGGATAAGGTCAAGGTTCATTAATATTACCATCTACAACCTGCCAAGATTCCTGTACAATTATCAGATGTGAACATTGTAACTATAGATTCTGAATAAGTTTGCTTTTAAATTTGTTTTTCCTGTATTTCTTCAGTAATAATCATTTGAAAAAAAAACTGATTAATTGCTACAGATATTGAGAATATCCAAATTGATATTATTTACCATTCCATGATCAAATATTGCTTTCACATCTTGTGTATTCTTATTAATTGTAACTATATCTTCACCCTCCACAATACACATATCTTGATTTTGAAATTGCGAATATTGCATAGGATTAGTGGTAAACCTACTTTAGAGTTTTTCGTCTGTTATTTTAGATTTACAAGACGTATTGGCATATCTATATGAGTGAATTATTCCAATTTTTCCTTGACAAAAGTGATTGGCATTCCAATTGGAACGCATACATGACCAATCATCTAGTTTATGCAGTTCTTTGAAATTGTGACATGTGAATGTGAATGTTCCAGCTAAGTCGCTAATATGATTTGAAAAAAAATATTAGAAGCAAAAAATAAGTGAATCTCGGCCTTCTAATTATTCTAGCTCGAAAAAATTACCAAATGCAATGTTACCTGAAGAACCGATGAATCTAGAATTTAATGCACTGCATTATCCTCTTCCGAAAAAATTATACCATCTCACTCAATAAACATTTAATCTCTGAATATTATGATTGGCTTGTTAAAATAAAAGGTTTACCAAGCATTTTGACAGATAGAGATTGTTCAAGTTTATATAGAAAATATAAATAAGAATCTGGTTGAAATATGATTAGCAACGTGATTGTATGCAATTTGAGAATTTTTATTTTCAAGTATTGCAAGTTAATATATCCATTTCATTATTATTTACTCATCTTAACCAACTATAGTAAAAATTCTATCAAGCGTAAACGCAGTGAATGTGACATCTTCATAATAAGGTTTTGAGCGATCAGATATTTTTTTCTACTAGAAATTTCGAACTAATCTATATTTAGGTTCATTAATGAAATGTTCCACAAATATAAGATGATTGATTACATTGTATAAAACACTCACCAAGTTTCTTTAGATAATGATACTTATTCCCGAGAAAGAAGTTTAGAAGCATATTAGTCTTACCAGTGTCTGATCTTCCACTCACCACAATATAAAAGTGCCACTTAGGAGCATCTATATCATTGTTGTACATGGGACATGTCAAATTAAAAGCTTGATATTGATGTTGTACAGTGCGTGTATTATCACTATGAAAAATAAAATAAATTAACATATATGAAATTAACATTAATATACGGTTTTGAAAAATTGTCCTTTTTCAAACTAGTGTGAAGTGCGGAATTGGTATGGGACCAGTACGGAATTTGTTACATACTGAAATATGAAAGGTATGTTTTTGTAAAATGCAAAATATTAATATTAATATACTAATACGGAAATTCGCAATTTCCCGTATCATGAGAAAAAACGTATCAAATTAACTGAAATTACGTGTATTTGATCTATAGATACGGGAATTCCATATGAATTATATATAATTTTTTATTGCTATTAATAAAGTATACATATCGTATCAAATTAACTGAAATTGCCATAACTCAGTCGATATATGATGTTTTGGATAAAAACAACTACCATTCGAATTCTCTCGATGAGGTGTCTAATTCATAAAATTTGAATCACTAGTTAGTGAGATATTTTTGTTTACTGTATATCGTTATGAACATTAAAACACTATTATATTACCTTTACAATACTATTCTAATAAGCCATGTTTCATTAAAGTTAGATCATTGGTTTTCATGTGGTATGACATAATTTCAACCATTTCGACTTCATGTATAGCATGAACGTGTAAAACTATTAATAAGAATGTAGCTTCGCTTCATATTCATCAGCTAACTCTTTAGTTGAAGCTTGATGTATCATCTAAAAATATAAGATAGCATTAATAAAAAACAATGTTATGTAAAACAGTTAAATATAAAAAATACAATTTTTTTGTTTGATATTTGTTCAAGTTAAATCATCCAAGAATATAATAATAAGATCAGCAGTACGCAGTAAATGTATAAATAATTAAATATAAAAAATACAATCTTCGCCACATATTTATTCACCAACTTCAAGTTATCATTCGATTAAGTATGAAAAATAATCTTAATACAGTGTGTAATGTAATAAACCATCGAATCTACAAGTGGATCTTTTCAATTGAAGATAAATATTTCTATTAGAAACACATTATACAATTAGAATAATAAATAAGAAAGTATGTTAAATAAATAACATTATGTTATACTATTATAATATACCACTACCATACATTTCTTTATCTGCTTTGAGGAAAGTTAAATAGCTGTTTTCCACTTTTGGTAATTCCTAGAAAGCTGATCAGATTATCTAAACCATATTACATATTAAATATATGAAAGAAATTTCGAGTAAAAAAAAAAAATGCTATCAATGTTATAAGGTACGGAATTTGCAACATACTATACTAATACTAATACTAATAGGGTTATATACTTAATATGTATTATGGCTTATATACTCAATGAGAGCTTTCTAGAAGTCAGCAAAAGTGGAAAACGGCTATTTTAACTTTCTTCGAAATAGGCATTTATTATTATTATTATTATTATTATTATTATTATTATTATTATTATTATTATTATTATTATTATTATTATTATTATTTTACCTTATTTGCAATACTAATGAAAAAACCCCGGCTGCAATTGGTGCAGCTGCAGATGTACCACCATGCAAATTTGTACATTTCTTAACGCCCACATCAGTTGTATACTAATATTATTATTTACACATAATAAACTTAGTATAATATTGAAATCGACAAAGGAAAAAATAAATAATTATAACGAAATCCATACATACAATATAACTTCCACTGCCACTACTATAAGTAGTGATTAATAAGGCAGTACATCTTTCGGCATAGTAGGGGAGTACATGCTTACGATCAACAGCTCCAACAGTTAATGTGTATATACTGTTGGTGTAGCCATCATAATTACAGTTATCATCATTGGCACCTCCATTACCGGATGCAAAAACGAACAAGCTTCCTTTTCCGCCACGACCCTTTTCTATTCCTTTTACTATCGCTTTAAGTATCACACCTTGAGGTGCCTCTGCCGACTGCCCATCATCAGGTGGTCCCCAACTACATGAATATATGTCATTCTTTTGGAATTTATAATTCAAAGCCTCCGCTTCATCAGCATCTGATATATGTGCAGACAATATTCTTATACCTTAAATATAATAATATTGTTGTATTGTTGTTAATTTTAATTATAAAGATAGTAATAATCATAATTACAATTATCATTACACTATTAAAATACCTGCTATTTTGACATCTGGAGCAATACCAATACCACATACACTGTTTTTCACGGCAGCTATTTCTCCGGCACATCTTGTTCCATGCGTATCATCAATTAAACGAGGTTTTGGTAGTGGATTATGATCATTGAAATCATATGATCCTTCTGCGTACTTTTATTTTTTATAGAGATTAAATATTATTACTATTTACTATTATTATTATGTTAATAAATATGATTTATATTATTATATTTTGCCTACAACATACAAAATTATCAGCCAAATCTTCACTATACATGTCCAATCCATCATCTACAATAGCAGCAACAACTCCTTTGCCCGTTATTCCTTATGATGGAGATATCAATCAATCAATCAATCATCTATTGTATTAGTACGAGTTTTGTTTTTTTTTCAAATCAAAAAATTTGAAATTTCACAAATTTGTAATAAATAATTATATAAATTTCATTTGCACTATGTTTCTTTCTATATACGTGTATTTGTGAATATATATTGGGAGAAGGGAGGGGAGGGGGTTGTGGGGAGAGAACATTTAAAAAATATAAATACCTTCTTTCCATATGCCCGTAACATTAATATCATGTCCTATTTCATTTAAATTAAGCTATATACAATAATAATTTATAGTTAAAATCAATATCCCTGAATGTTGTTTAATATGGTTATTATTATTATTATTATTATTATTATTACCAAATGCCATTGATATTTAAATCCTGGATCGTGAATTCCTATTGATTTACCAATTTCATCTGGATCCAGGAATTTATGAGAATTATCTGTTGGTGATGGAGTAGGTGGTGGAAGTGGTACTCGTTTGTGTCTTTTTCTAAGTATTTGTTTGTCCACGCTTAATATTCCATCAATGATTTCAAGAGATCGTTTATTAATAGTTGATGATCCCAAATCTCCTTTTCGAAGTTCTCTCAACTCGTTAAACCTTTTTAACACACGATCATTATCCTCGGCAAGATGCGAAAAGCGTTTATCGTAATGTTCAATTGTTACATCTTCTTTTGCTGAGCTAAACAAATGATAATTATCAAGTTCACCAATTCTTCCCTCGTGTTTTATATTTAGTAGATTCTCTACATCTTTTGGGGTAATGATGAGATCATTCGCTACCTCTATTGCATAATAAAATCTTTTGTCGTAATCTCTTTTTCTGATTTGTGGCTTATCCTCTATTGTCGTTTCTAGTTGTTGTGAGTATGAAACGAATGAAAAAATAATTATAGTGATAATAAGTAAGTTATAACAACTTTTTATTGAGTGAAGCGGTATTCGAGTCATGGTTTGTGTGAGTTCTTAAATGAAAGATGGGAATTAATTATTCTCGTTTTTGAACCGCTTTATACAAAATAATTGTTTGTAACACGAAAATAATGAAAATTCTCTTTAAAAAATTTTTCCCAATTTAAAATGTTTATCAGAATTAATAGAACAAATCATTCCTTAAAACCCATAACAAGATTAAAACCAATAATATTTGTTAGAAATTCAATTCCGACCATTCCAAAGCATCACTACTCTTTTGTACCTACTTTTCTCAAGACAAAGAAAAATTCAGAAAAAATTATAATTAATCAACAACATTCACATTTTTACAACAACAATAAAAGCAATAATAATGATAATGCAACTATACCTACCACAATATCGACAACATCTAATAACCAATACCACCCCTTCAAGCATTGCAGAGTCAATATTATCTTCACAGACATCAACCAAATCAACTGATGATAATAATATCAAACCATCACTACCAATACCAATACCATCATCATCACCACCAGTAAGTGATGACAATAATAAGATATCAACATCTACAATACCATCATCACCACCAGTAAATGATGACGATAATAAGATATCAACAACAAACAATCCTATTTCAACAGAAACACAACCGGCTACTACAAATGCAGCTGATAACAACAACGATGATAGTAGCAGCAGTAGTAGTAACAGCATCAATAGTAATTGGATTTGGGGTATTGGAGTAGTTATGGCGTTTACATTGGCATATATGGTTTATGCGACTAGGAAATGGTATTGGGATGATGTGAAGAAAATAGTATCTGAAGTATTCTCTAGGAGAACATATGCATCGGTGTTACGACAGCCATCTGATCGAACATCTAATGATGAGGATGGTGACCTTATTCCATTGACAAGAGGCAATAAACAATTCACGACATCAAGAGAATTGTTTGATGCATTCGGAGATGAGGAGGAGGAGGAGGAGGAAGAAGAGATGGTAATGATGGGAGATCGACAGGTTGTATATGAAAATTCATATATGGATGGTTTTATAAATGATGACCATATTAATGATGATGATGATGATGATAATGTTGGCGGAAGTGGCGGTGATAATAATGATCAACAAAATTAAGAGATAGTAAGCAAAGGAGAAAATGATGATACATAATTACAACAAGGACAATAGAGTAACAAGGATGTCATGTGACATTTATTTATTAAAAAAATAACGTAGATTAAATTTATAGAATCTTATTTTCATTTTAAAAATATTAATATTTATTATTACTAATGTTTAAGCAAGAAATTAAATTAATTTATAATAATAAAATATAATACCACTTTATCACATAATAATAATCGAACAATTAAAAGTTATTTAGTGCACATCTTCGAAAAGATCTCGTATTTCTCTACTCATTGACAACAATGGACTTTCTTGATCTGTTAACTGCGGCATTGGAATAGTAACACGATGTTCATTATTAAATGGTTTTTTTCTATTTTTACTCATTAATTATGCTGCTGGTATTATTTTCTCTATCACCAAAACACCATTCCGATATATAAAAAGTTTTCCTTCGCTATTTTCAAATTGATTCATGCCCGCTAAAAACGAATTATTTTTCGGTAACTTCGACTTGGTTCCCTTGAACGGGGGGTTTTCAATGCGAGAAGTTTATTTTGCAACAAAAATTATTTTTTTTCTAATGACATACCGATGGTGGTGGTAATATTGGCTTGATTAAGGAAAATTGTTAAGGCTAATTGATAATGCTATATATGGTTAATAGAATATTTTGAAAAATACTTTTATTATTTCGAGATTCACCAAACATTATACAGTCATACCTCTCTCCACATATGTTGGGAACCAATTTCATAGAAAAATCATCTCCATATAGGGAAAAACCTCTCTACAAGAACATCTGGAATGTTCCCGACAATTTTATGTTAAACTAAACCCTTTTTATTATTCATTAATTACCACGTTATTTAATGGAGACATTAATGTTTAGCATGTTTCAATTACAAATTTAAAACACCACTAACCAATTTAAATAAAATATCATTTTCAGCCATTTTATTGTTCTTGGAAATTGTCCTTTGTTACTATTGGATTAATTATCCAGTGTTGATCATTCCCGATTTATTTGAAAATATATTTATACCTAAAATTAAACTGTAATGGAAAAAATGCAAACTTTATATTTTTCATTACATATTTATTTATTTGGCGCACAAATCAAATATATACTTTTTTGGCATAACTCTCATTTATTTGTAAATTGTTAAATTTCTGATTACCCAAGAATGACTTCAGACACGTAGAGAGTAAATTCGTCATCATAAATATTTTTCATTTCGTTATTAACAATAATAATAATCCAGGAAGTAGATAACTTTATTATTGATTATTATTACCAACTCTACCACTTTTCGTAAGTAATTATTACTTGATATTAAAATATAAAATGAATCATCGAATTCTTCTTCTTATTATTTTTTTGTTTATTCTGCAACCACATAAATCATGCATATACCCAATTCGATTAATTACATCATAGAATAAAAGCATTAAAAAAACGCCACCAATATTTTGAAATGAAACCTTTGAAATTTGTTAAATTAAAATTTATATCACAATAATAAATAACCTTTATACTTTTTATATTTTAACAATGATCAATGTGTTGTTACTTAATAGATTGCGTGTGAATAAACAATATGAATCAAGAAATTTTATCAATAATAGGAACATAATACTTATTGTTAAAAATTCCCAC